ATATCGTTACACCCCTTGTGTTTGATGCCGTAACATCTCCAAAGAATCAATCAGATGACAGACCCTTCATCAGAAAAGTTACACAATGTTCCTTCAATTCCCACATAGACCAAATCAAATTATCACCCCTACAGTAGATAATTATTAATGGTAGGATAAACCAAAGAACACAGACATGACAAAAAATCTGTGAATCTAACCCAAAACTGTGAGGAAGCAGAGCAAACCATTATACCATTATGTAGATATAAAGTCTAATATCACTGAATTTGACTTAGTATTAACTAACAGGCAGAGGCCGTGCCACAGCTGCCAAATCCCGGGATTGGGCTGTGCAGATTTACAGTTGCCTGCTTAATCTCATTACAAGCGTGAATTAAAGGGAAAAATTGCTGACGACTTAGGTAAAGCCCTGAGGAGGTCATATCAGACAAGACTCAAGTATTGTCTAGCCCAGTTAATCCTCTAACTCTTTATACACAACAGTAAAGCCATGCTACAACCTGCCATAACAACACGACCACCAGACTATTACATTATGCAGTTCCATATAAATCTGTAATGCTATTCTGGCACTTGGATCACATTTCTCTTTTGGTAGAGACTGCAGGTATAATTTGCCCTGTTTAAACATAATGGGATAATGGAAAAGGTCCTGTTTCCATGATTATTTTGACCCTAGTTTAAATCCTAACATTTTCAGGCCAGAAACCCCAAATAAAAGATGCAACTGACCCACAACCCTCACAACAAAATAAAATTTCCAGCATGTTGTTAGGTTTCTGTTTTAAATCAGATATTTAAAATTGATTCAATACGGTGTCATACTTTTAAAATGATATCTCAAAATCATCTCACGACCCCCACTTTGAGAATCGCTGCATTGTGACTTGTGTTTTAAAAGCTTGTTCATGAGAAAAGTCACTTTCCTCCATGCAGAGCGAGTGCCCATTTTGAGAAAGTAGTTTTAATAATTTTGATTTAGTACATTTTTTGGAATTGATTGGAGCAATAATTGGACCCACTCTCAAAATTCAATTAACGTCACTGCCCTATTTTAACACATCAATCACATTAACGCGTTCCATTGACTTTGACTGGCTTTTCTCCTCCTAATTGTCACATTCAAAACTGAGACTAAAACTGGGACTAAAACTAGGCCTGTCACGATGAGAAATTTTTAAGCACAATATATTGCTACATTTTGGAGATATACTGTGATAAATAATAATATTGAAGCTACTTTATGCCACTGACACAATAACAATAAAGGAGGATAATCTTAGTAAAGCGTTTTTAAATACAGTATCATTAAAAGACATGAGCTACAAAAAATAAATAACACAATAAACCAATAATTAGCCATAGAAGTGACTTATTCATCCCTCTACAGTTCAAACCTTATCATATTACAACAAAAATAACAAAAATCCTCACACTTTTGCATAGAAAATGTACCCATGATAAATATTGAGCCCCAAAATATCTAGTATTTTCATATATTGAATGATAAGTTGATATAGTAAGTATCATGACAAAACTGGGACTAAACTTGAAGCTGAACCTGGACTATTGCCCAGGACTAAACCGGGACCTGAGATATGAGCAGTCCTAATATAAACCATAGCAATCATACCATTTATTAATCAATGATACCCAGCATGCATCACACAGAGCAGCACTTATAATTTCATTGGTGGTATTTAGAGGCTGTGAGGTAATTATGAGTTTAATTAGACTGATGTCAAGGTGGTCCATGTAATCGTATTGGATTTGTCCATTAATCCTTTCCGCTGCTGTGAGTTCAGTTGTGTTTGCTAACGTTTGTGTGATAGGATTATCAGTACAGAATGTTTAATACTAGCCCAGGGGTATAGTTGTGGAGATGCAAATATGCAAAATGTTGACCAATTGCAAAACTGAAAACAAAATAGTTGATGTGCAATGGAAAAAAAAAATCATCTTAATTTGAAGTCATTTTGTTTTGCCTATACTGCAATTAAGAAATTTCTTAAAATGTTTTGGACTTGTAAAGTACCTCTACAGTCTATAGTCTTTAATGAGAAATATAGATAAACCAGACAGATAATGGATCCAGAATAACAAAATAAGATTTGAACCACAATTACAGCACATTTTTAAATTATAATTTATACAATTTACACATTAATTTAATCTCCATCAAACCAAATATTGAAATATCAGCATTCATTGCAAGGAAAAAAATATTATTTTAGATGCATTCTTACTTTACAATGCCACACAAGTAACTACATTTTCTTGCACTTTAAAGGTTCGCTATGTAACTTTTTTTTTTTTTTGCCATTTGCTTGTCTCCATGGAGATGTGATTGCTTTGCCTGACATGTTCCACATCCTTGCAATACTTAAGATACACTTTTATTGCAAGAAAATTTGCTACTTCACTGATCTGACCTGCATCTTGGCCTGGAGGCACCATAGATATAAACACATCTAATGCCATACTGTGGAACATTTCAGGCAATGCAATAACATCTTACAAGCAAGTGGCATACTCGAACGATTACATAGTGCACCTTTTGCTCATTAATATACAGGATTAACGTAAAAAATTGTTATCCCACTTACCCAAAACAAAGTGTAGTGTGGACACTTCCAAGAACGGCTGTTGCTCCAATGCAGAAGTAAATAGTAAAGTGTCGACCAGTATTAGTATTGACCCATTTCACAGCACCTTGAGCATGTATCCTAGCTCCTAAGCACTCGTCTTCTCACCTTTCCCCGAACTGGTGCACCGCCAGTCCTCGCTAACGTCCTTAACTAAAAAAGACCTTTTAAACACAGATTTATTCTATCTCTATTAGCTGACTTGATCCCTGCACAGTAAGCCTGGCATGTCCTGACTTCACCATCCGCCGCACAAGTGTAATTACCACGGCTGCACTGGTCCTAAACCTCTTTCAACGTTTACCTCACTAATCTCATGTTAGCACTTTAGGCCCTAGTTAAGACACCTAAATGCTTAGCTTCCTTTTCCACTGGCAAAATGGCCTCCTGTGTGCTATATAGCTTTGAAAACCCCATTTGAGACCTCATGCAGAGAAAGGTTAAACCTAGATGTCAAAATACTTCTCAGATTTGTCTTGTTTTTTGTTTTTCAATTGTCTAGTTGTCCAAGCAAGACCCCAGGGTGCCAGATTGGGTGAAAAACATGCTTGTTGTTGGGAATATTTTGGTGAGAATCCGGATCATCTGCACCATAATCTGGCAGTTTGAGATTACTGCAGTACTGGACATTTTAGAGTTATGTTAGTACTTGGATCCTGCTGTGTGCTGATAAATTCAAGTGGTGGAGCATTAATAAGAGGAGCTATAGCAGAAGGTGGGGAAGGTGGGGACTCTGGGTTTGAAATGGCTTTTTGCAGACAGCAGGGGTACAGCACAAGATAATGTTTGTTTAATTATGTTTGACAGGCTAGTTAAATGGGACCCACCTGGAAGTACTGTATGTAGGTGTGCACAATTTAAAAAGGATTACTTAAAAATCATTGTGAATCTTGAGGTAAAACCTAAGATACAAATATCTAATCATTGTCTCATTCATTCTCTTCTTGGTTAAAGATATGACCCCACATACAATCAATTAGCGAATTGAAGTGCACAAGTTTGCATCAATCACTTCTATGATGATGATTTTGTGTCTTTCTCAGAGAATTTTGCAAAAGTGACACAATATTTAGGAGTGCATGGACCAAGTGAAATTCATTTTTGTCTTTTACAGTTTTCAAGACTAAATGGAGGTGCTGTGACTAGAAAATTATTTGTTATTTCATTACAAAAACAAAAGACATCTATGAAAAAATAACATTATATTTTGTGAATTATTAAAATGTAGTTGAGGCATTTGTGCAGCAGAGCATTAAGTTATTTAAACCACTAATTCAGGCTTAGGTTTCAGATGGGATTTCTGCTCTTCTTGTGTGACCTGCGCATTAAGAGGCACAGAGAGGTGAGGGCTAAACGTTGACTAAAAACACACATCTTCTAATTACAGAAACAATCTGCTGTAGTTAAGATCAGTCTATTTCCTGGATTCACCCCATACTGTCGTCTTACTACAGTCTCCTGATCCTACTAGACTTCGCTGCCACAAATCCTGTTTAGGCATTAATTAACATTGAGTTTGTACTGAAATTACTAGAAGGAGTGTGTTGAATTTACACTCAGAGAAAATACATTTAAATATACATAATCATGTTTATTCATAAAAAAAATCTGAAATGATCCAACATATAGTGAACTACTTAATTTATTAAATGAGCATTTTTATATGTTATTCAGCTTGCTCAAAGTTGTATTTGGAATAATTAAGGCATGTCTCAGTATACTTATATTGTCCTGCATTCACAGCTCAAGTGCTCTGAAATTTTCATGCACCCCTTACCTCCACCCACAATTCTTTTTTTACTTATTCTTCTTCTCTGGGTTCTCTGTTATGCCATGTAATCATTTTTCAACTCATAAAAACAAGTGCATTAATATCCACTCCAAGTAGTCAATGTTTCTGTTACTAAACAGTTTTAAATAATTTGTTTTACAATAAACAAAATGTATAATAATGATGTAAGTATCATAGTTTAACACTAAACCCAAATTCTTTCAGAATAATCTGACCTCATTCATATCAGTTACTCTTATAGTACAGTACAGTATGTCTTCTGGTTGGTCAAAGGACATGAGGGCCATGTCAGTCCAAATGTTGTGTAAAATTTCCCATATCACCTTCATCTTATCTGTTTTGGAGGGGTTTCAGCAGATGCCAGATCTCTCACGTTTTTAACCAAGTCATCACTGCGCTTACATCACCAAAAGCCAATAAAAACGCTACTGGGCCCATGCTCAGCACTGCTCCCAGGTAACACAGGTGAGAAGAGCTCCACTGCTCTTGGTTACAACTGTAAATATTTGTGAATGAAACCTTTTAACTGTTGTTTTATTTATTTTGCAGGTGATAGAAGAATGAACGCTCTCCAGGTCTACTCTCTGGCTCTGCTGTCCGTCATGGCAGCTCAGGCTCAGGTCATCATGCCCGGCAGGTGCCCACAGCCTGCGGTGCAGAAGGACTTTGATGCTGCCAGGGTGAGGGGCAAAGAATAATAATATGCTGTACAATACATAGAGTAGAGAAGTAGGAAAGGACATCACACTTCATCAGAGCACTGTAAAGATGCAGAGCACAGAGCCTTAATCAGTCCTTTGTCCTGTGTGCAGTATCTGGGCACCTGGTTTGACATCAAGAAGCTTCCAATGACTTTCCAGAAGGGCGAATGCAGTACTGCCACCTACACCCTGCAGAGTCCTGGAGTGGTGGGCGTCTTCAACAAAGAGCTGCTGTCAGTACACTGCGTTCACCTGCTTGTGTTTATTTATGAAATGCTGATGCTTTGAGATGAACAGAATTACAGACGTTGTGACAAATTTCTCTTATGTCCTTGTAGGGCCGATGGAACTATCAACACCATCACTGGAACTGCTACAGCCCTGGACCCCTCTGAGCCTGCCAAACTCTCTGTCTCCTTCTTCGAGAGTAAGAAAAACTGCACTAATGCTTTTAAAAGGCCCACATTACACTATTTTCTGGAGTTGTGCTTTGTTTCATTAACACACAAACCCCGCATACACCTTCACTAGAATCATTTAGATAATTTCAGCCCTGGAATTACCAATTACATTGAACAAAGGGTAAAATTATCCATTCACTTGAAAACTACAGCTTCATGACATCACAAGGTGGAACAGAGCATGAGCTTTGGGGATGTAGACAGACTAACTGATGAGATAACAACATCCTAACATGGCACTTCACGCATCTAAAAAAACAATAACATCTCAACAGCAACAAGCAGGTGACTGACCCTTCACCAAAAATCTTACATCTTTACATTTACTAAAGCACATAATCCAGAATAGTTATGGGTTTAAATCATTATTATTAACTTGTTATGTTTCTCCTCCAGACTCTCCTCCCGCTCCCTACTGGGTGCTGGATACTGACTACAGCAGCTACACCCTGGTCTACAGCTGCACTGACCTGGGTATTGTCCACACGGACTTTGCCTGGATCATGAGCCGTGAGCCCACCCTCTCCCCCGTCACCGAGGCAAGACTCACTGCTAAACTGACCGCTATCGGAGTCAGAGTGGACAAACTGGTCCGTACTGTGCAGGATGAGGAGTACTGCAGCGCCGTGTAAAATATGTATTATTAATTGTAGTGCCAATGTAAACCTTTCACCAGAATGCTCTTTGTGATGTGACTTTGACACTTCAGCCTAAACCGCTTCTGTCTGTAGAATAATTTAAGTGATATGCATAATTTCTGTGTTAAATCATTGTAATATGATTAATGATTATGTTAATTGACTGAAGAAAAAAAAACAAAAAAAAAAAAAAAACAACAACTTTGGACTCAGGGATTATTGTATTGTTACATGCAGACAATAAAGTCATATTCAAATTGATGCTTTGGTTTATTCCTTTTAGTCAGACAGTCCTTTTTGATTTGAGTCTAGTTCTCTTAGGCAAAATGTCATATATTTGTATTTACACTGTATTTAGTTGATTAAAATCTATAATACATTTAATACATTTTTCAATCAACTATATGTCACTTATATCATGCCAAAATCATTTATTTTACATTGTTTTGGTAGTTTGTATTGCTTTGTGGACCTTCTACCTAACCACATACAGAGTATTAAAAGGCACACATTATGTAAAACTGACTTTTAAGATTCTTAATTCTTAAGAATTCTTATCTCTCAGCAAAGGTTAAAGAAAAAACCACATCAGTCATTTTTTCAACAATAAAAATATATTCCACTGCTTGCTATGGAGAAGAAGTTCAGTCAATCTGTAATGAAGTATGAACTTTTTTTTAACCTTTATGCAACAGGGAAGTAGATAGTAGATTGAGATAAAATCTTTTCTTCGAGAAAGACTTGGTTTTCGGAGGAGACCTGAAGCATGAACTGGTGTGACATTAGCTTAGGAGGGAAAGTAGCTCAGTTGGTGTTTGATCCGAAGGTTGTTGTTTTGAATCCTGCTCTTGACATAAACATCATTGGTAGGATGGTCATATCCACTGGTGCGATTCCAGCTCCCACAGATAAATGTTGTCGTTGTGTCCTTGGGCAAAACACACCTTGCCCTCACACCTTGCTCTCAGTGTCTACATACATTGGTGTACATATATGTGTGTGAATGGGTGAGTGGGTCCTTGATATAAATCACTTTGGAAAAGCGCTGTAAAAAAATGTGACCATTTATCATATGCAGAAAGTGAAGCCAGGCAAATTTCCCCTTTGGGTCTCATCTCAGTGAGATGTTTGACCCTTACTTAAGGTATCAGTAGCTTCAGACCATGGAATAAATCTCTTATAATACTAATTTGACAATTTAGAATTTGCAAAATGAAGACACAAAGAGCACATTGTGTATCTGTACACTAAATACATGTTTATTCTTGTTTTGGTTCACTCGTCCATAGGGCTGCAGTAGTTCCTGTTCTGATTGGTGGGCACCATCTTGCCGGCGTCGACCCCAGCAGCGGTGAGGATGCTGTGCAGCTCCTCCAGGGTCTCGTCGGGGATGGTGGGCTCACGGCTCAGGACCCAGGCCAGCTCCCCTCTGAACACACCAAACTCCCTGCACCCATAGACCAGAGAGTGACCCTCATAGTCAGTGGAGAGCACCCAGTATGGACCAGGGGGAGTGCCTGGGTGACACAGAAGAAGAGGTAAGCAGAAGTAGACAAAAGTACTACTCTATCTAATCAACTTCTTTTGTTGGGGGGAGATCCTGGCCCAAAGTAACCCAGTGAGAAAAAAATTAAACAAATGTCTCACTGTAACTCCAACATGCTGTTGTTTGCCAGACAATCCGCTTTGTGTGCCAAATGTAATGTGACTCTAATTTAATACTACTACTACTACTACAACTACTATTAGTACTAGTCCTAGTAGTAGTAGTATTCACTCTGCTAGTACCACTTAATAAAAATCTATTCCATACCACTGAAAGAGACCTCAAGCTTGGCAGGCTCCTCAGGGTTCTTCACTTTAGCGCTGCCAACAATGGAATTAATGGTTCCATCTTTACTGTGAGACAGAAGACATTATCCATATTATACAAGTTAGCAGTGCTTATAATGTTATGGCTGATCATTGTATAGGTCATGTTTACAGGACATCATAATGTTCTTGACTTCCTATAGTTAAAACTTGAGCTGAAGGACGGGTCAGAATTCTATTGTACAATTTGCTGTTAAATTGTCCAATTGCAGATGTTTTGCCTTGGTTTATGACTATGGTTAATCTCGGGAATTATTGGACCTTTCCACATGAAACAGAAACTGGCACAAAATTTAAATTATTATAATTTTTTTTACATAATAGCTCCAGAAACAGGAGCCATTATTTCATCCCAAGATGTAATTTTTTCAAGTTGAAACTACGTTTCAGCCATAAGATTAATGTGGCAAGTTTGGTAAATATTAATGAGGTTAAAATGGGCTGACCTTTGGATTTTTCTTTCAGAACTGTGAATCTCCCATCGAGCTATATTGGAAACTCTTAAATTATCGAAATTATCAATTATCACCGGACATAACTTATTAGCATTGTAGTCGCTAAGCCTTATATACTAACAGCAGCTCTCTGTTGAAGACGCCGATGACTCCAGGGCTGTTGGGGCTGTAGGTCGCAGTGCCGCACTCTCCCTTCTGAAAGTTGGTGGGGAGCTTCTGAATCTCGTACCACTTACCAATGTACTGTAACAAACACACAGAGAAGACACCAATAATACCAATAGACCCATGTACTGTGGGGTGGTAGCAGTAGTATTAGAACTATTTTTTTTTTTGCAATGACCATGACTGTATAAGTGCAGGATAGATATTTTTAATGATATTTTTAATGTTGACTATATCAGAAAAAGCAACGTAGCAGACCCCAAAGAAAAGCATTGACATTTTACTGAATATTCTTATCAAGACATAAAATGGTCTCTAATGTTCATGAAATATGCTTTTAGTTTACCCTGCTGGAGTCAAAGTTGGCCTGCACCGCTGGTTTGGGGCATTTCCCAAAGCTGATGACCTGAGCGCTGGCGGCAACAGCGCAAAGCAAAGTCAGCGAGATCACCTGAACAGCCTGCATTTTCAACCTGCAAAATAATATCACATTAAGTAAGTATAATTCAAATGAATACATATTCTTAAGTGATTTGAGCTTGTGTTCACCTATGAGGAGTGAGTCAGAGGTAGAACAGGCACAGAGCAGCACAGGGTTTTATAGTGATCTTGGACATTGTTTTGAGAGATGATTTTGACCCCTCCTCTGAAGAAATATGTGAGAGTTGGCACCTGTTCGGCTCCTGTCCCCTCACAGAACCTGTTATGTAATCTGGTTTCTGTACTGGTTCTCACCTTATGTCACCAGTTCATTCATCCACAATGTTTACTTCTGTTAATGTTTACTCAACCATATATCACATATGGTTGGAAGCATGTTTCACAGTGGTCTCAATACAGTCTCATTTTGAAGTGCTTATGCATTATATCTGTAATGACACAAGACAAATTTGACTTTATTACAAAAATCTGTTTCAGCCCCTTTAAAGGCATGGTACTATGGAGCCCCTCAAGTGCCCTAAAATTGATTGCACAAGATACAAATGATATACTTAAGCTCTGAAATTGAGCAACACATACATTTTTCCTAATGTAATGATCTAATTGTAAAACACAGATTAATACACATCTCATGTTTAGCTCAAAAATCTATTTTTCGACCATGACTTCACAAATATGATATATGGTTCACAAATATCTCACAAATCACCACAAGAGGGTACCCAGAACATTGTTTACAGAAATTCTTTTACCTTTAAAGATGCACTATCAATGACATTTTTCTGGTGGAGGATTGGCCTCCCGCTTGTCTCCATTGAACTGTTAAGCTTTTGCCTGGAATGTTCCACAGTATGATATTAGAAGAAGGAGAAGAAGGTAAACCCGCTCACAGTAAATGACAATCTTGAGATGTGGTTGATCAATAATTTTGATCAACCACATCTCAAGATAATTATCTTTTTGATATTGATCCACAAGAGAAATTACTTATCTTATTGTGTTAAAATAATTACCTTTTGCGAACAAGTTACTCTCTAAGATATTTAGATTTTTTTAGGGAACTTATGTGCCAGATTAATTGTAAAGAATTAAACTAAATCAATATAATACAAACATATTTGGTCAAGATTAGGAACTCAGAGTAGATCCACTGCTCCTCCACATTTTCTTCAGGATGCTCCAAAAATAATGTAAACTTCAATGCTCTGTAAAACCTTGGTAAAAAGCAAATATAAAACTACAAAAATGATAAAAGATGACAATTTATGGAATAAAGATCAAAAAGTATCTAAAAAAAATGATACTAATCCAGTATTACATCTGCTTCTTATATTCAGTGTTCTGTAGCATTCGTTTCATTGTTGTTGATCAGATCTTTTGTGGCACGTGTTTGGTCACACTTTAATGTTGTAACACTCTGTGAATGTGGCATTTTCACAGGCTGCTCCTTATCTGTGAGAAATACCTCCAGAGTTTGTATCGACCAAAACAAACACTCTGATCAATCTGCAAAAATAATACAGGGTTAGACTAGGATAAACTTAATTCATCCAAGAGACTTAGTGAGGACAATGAAAAATCAATGTAAGGAATGAGAAGAAAATGGAGCTGTACTTTATAAAGAAATAATATTTTCCAAACATGGGGGAAAAATCAAATGCACCAAAACATTCTTGCGAGTAATTTTAATTTTAAGGATTTTGTTGGCTGTATTCCTACTTTTTGAAATATGTAGTTGATATTTGTTATTTTGTTATTTTTGTGTGTACTGCACTTTTTGTTCTGCTTTATTAATAAGTTTGGACTGAATTATTCATTTATTTATTTAGTTAGATGGTGCATATTAATTAAAATCTGTAAATAAGCATCAGATTTATAATTCAGAGCTTTTATAAAATTGTTATTTATTCTTGTAGAAACAATGTTAACAAATAATTAAAGGTACTCGAAAGATAAGCAGACTCTGGGCTCTTATTCAGACTTTATTTACTATCATTACGAGACACAGAAACGTGAACACTCTACTCATTGTGGCAGTATTGTCCATTCAAGTCTGGCTATGCTTCCATTGTAGGGAGTATTATATCTCTGACGACTAATGTCAGCACGGAAAGGTCAACAAGATGTGATTTCTTCTGGAGACAAGTAGGCGACTTCAGCAGACCAGAGGCAACCCCACTCTCAGTAAGAATGCATGTTTTCCAGGTAATATGAGCAAGAGAAACATCCATAATCAAACAATGGAAGATCGATACTTTTAATGAAATACTCTGGAGAAGTCCAGGCAGAACAAAAACATCTCCAGAGAGACAAATATGGGACATTTAAAAATGTTACATAATCCACCTTTAATAAGCCACAATTGATTCTTCTTTTATGTTTGAACCACTGACCAGTTGCACAGTAATACTACAGCGTTTGAACTTCAGGCACTGAACCCACTGTGAGTGATTTTAGTTTTTGATCTCTCTCTTCTCTGTAATTGACTCTTTGTAGCCTTCTGCACTCTTTCCCTGCATTTGACAGTGTTGGACTGGGACTGGAAAAGAACACATAAAGTCATGTAGAATGGGGCAATATATTCACCAGCATGCTGTTTTGTGTGGGTTGTGAGTTGTTTTGTCAAATAATCTTTGTTTATACCTTCTGCAAATATATTTATTTTTGAATATTACATAGTGAGACATGAAGAAGGAAGATCCAAGTCTCATCAATAGAGATTGGATGGAATTTTGGTTAATCTTTTTTATTTTTTTATTCTAATTTTAGATTGATTGTTTGCTATTAAATCAATTGAAATGTGTGCCTTTATTATTTATTGTTAGTTGTTAGTACAGTTATTCTTAAGATTTTTTTTACCCAAAACCTAGACACCAACATTGTATGAACCAAATTTTGATAGTAAAATATAAACATAAAAAATATAATTTTAAAAAACTGCTTTCTTTCTTTTTGTTTGACAATAGGGTGACTCTGGAATTTGGCATCAGAGTAATCATGTCAGTTGACCACTCCCAAAGAACAATGAGGTTCAGAGCTGAGACAATTCAGTTAAAAATACAGTGAAAAACAACAACTACATTTTCCTAATATTTCTTTCTCATAATCATAAACCAATGGCATTAAACTAGAAACTCAAAAACAACATAAAAGTGGATTTTTCTGTGTATAGGACATCAGATTATTTGATAACGTTGGTCCCCCATGACTCTAATTTGCTAATGGTTTACTTCATGTCCGGAATAAGCTGCCCTTTACAAAGGCTGCTATTGACAAGGCTCAGTCACAGTCAAACTACTCCAGACGACGTTCAAAAAGTCCGCCAAGAAACAAGTACTAAAAGGTAAGAAATACATAAATATATTGGTACAATTACAACTTAAAATATGTGTGGCTATGTGTATTTTTATTCTCCAGGTATTGATTGAATTATAAGTATGAAGTCTATGGTTGCATTGGCTCTGCTTCTTGTCCCACTGGTGGCAGCTCAAGTTCCACACTGGGGTCCGTGTCCAGAGCCCACTGTTCAACAGGGATTCAATCTTAAACAGGTAAGATATTATTGTGTTATATATTTATGATAGTTGATGTGATATGCTTCATGCTGGCAATTGTAAGATCAACCACTGCATCTTTTTGTGCATCTGTACCTGAAATTTGTTATACCATATTAAATTGAATAAATGCAAAATATATACATTTAATGCTATTTAAGGCAAGGACATGTCAGTGGAGATCAACAGGTGAATCCACATCAGAAAAGATTTAGCATTATCCGCATCTTAGGGGCTTGGTTTTTGGTCTTCAAAGAACTTCACAGCACCAACATTGTAAAAGATATTAGTTGCCCCCCCATACACACACACACACACACACACACAGAGTGGTAATGCATTTATGTGTTATTGCACATTTGGTTTATTACTTGAATTATTTTATTCCTCAGTTCTTGGGAAGATGGTTTGAAATTGCCAGACTGCCAGCTCAGTTTGAGAAAGGACGCTGTATCGAGACCAATTTCACCATGAAGTCCGACAGCTCCATTCGAGTGGTCAGCTCGGAAATATAGTGAGTAGCTTTCTATAAACACTCTAATATTAGAGAACGTTTGTATTGTGTTTGATCTGACATAAATGCCTCTGTGACTGGTATAGCAAAGGAGAGATCAAGAAAATCGAAGGCACTGGAGTCACTGAGGACATGAAGAATCCTGCGAAACTCGGCATAAGCTATTCTTATGGTGAGTATTCTGTAAGGTTCTGTACTGGTGTTGTAGGTTATATATTTGTAGTTACACAGAGAAAACACACACAGGAGTTTTATTTCCATATTTTGTTTGTTAGTTTTTGTGTTTGTGAAACAAACAGCCATTTTGGTTGGCCTTATAAGTCATCGTGATGTGTTTCACTATTCCACAGCATGGCACTTATTTATCTTGCATGCATTCAGTTAAAGGTGTTTCTTTCCATAGAGATAAAAAGATATGTATAATTCCTTCCTGTGGAACATTATAAGCAAAGCATACATCTCCTTGGAGACAGGAAGATGACTGTTGATATTAGAAAAGTTACATGTTACATGCACCTTTAAAAAATAATTGCTCTTCCAAACTGAGAAAAAGTTGCTGTGGGTCAGGGATTTGTTTTTATCAGATTCTTCATGTCTTGTGCCCACAGTCCTGCCCTACACTCCGTACTGGATCCTCTCCACAGACTACGTGAACACAGCGCTGATATACTCGTGCACAGACGTCCTGCGCCTCTTCCACGTGGACTTCGCCTGGATCATGAGCCGGACCCGCTCCCTGCCAGAGGCCACGGTCCAAAAGGCACGGCAGACCTTTGAAAACAACAACATTGACACCACCCGGATGATCATGAGCAAACAGCAGGGGTGCGACAAGGAGCTCTGAGGGAACCATGATGGGGGTGCACCACCAGATGGCGCAATAATGCAGAAGTGAATGAAGATGGAAAAGTAGGTTTGTTTGTAGGCCTGTGTGTTTGTTGTTTACAGTACATTTGCACATGGCTGTAAGGGTTAGGCCTGCATGATTTAATAAATCAAAGTCCAAGTATACATGGCCTTGAAATAGCCAATAAATCAATATTTTAATTGTAGATTTCCCTTGTAAGAGATACATAGCCTATGAAACTTTTATTTGGACCACAAATAAATGCTGATTAAATAAGAGTGTGTGTAGTGTAATTTATAAAATGATTTTACGTTCTGAAATTTGTTCACACATATATTATATACATATAGACTGTTGATATCTCCACCTCTGCCAAATTATTTTAATGTTGTCAAATCGCAGGCTGTAGCCTATTATATTAGGCCATGGGTGATGAATAATTTGTCAAACAAACTTTTTTTCATGTTTATTCTCCCAATGATGGATGAATAGAACGCAAAGTCTCAGACATCACTTATGTAGTCTTAATTATTTACTCTTACTCTTATCACTTATTACTCTTATTTACACTTTATTATGAAGGATTAACTGATAAACCAATCATCTGAACAATTAACAAATTAACTACTTGACAATTAAGCAATTAATAATTATCAAACAAATCAACCCTTACTCCTCCAGGCCTCCATCATTCAAAAACACTTAAAGCTGCAGTAGCCAGGGTAATGATGGAGGAGTAAAATCCACAAAGCTTACAGCTAAAGTAGACAAGGAGAACAGAGCTAGGATAACCATAGACCATAATAGGCTCTACATAGGTCACATAAATCACTTAAATCAGTCTGACCCGCCGCACAGAGGGCCACGGGTTCGAGTCCCATAGGGCCTCCTTACAATTTCCACTTTCCACCTTGAGCACTAGAGGGCGCAAAGGCACAGTTGAAGAATAATTTATTCAATTTATTTACTCAATAATTTATTAAATAAATTAATCACAATTAAAACTGACATGCATATATACATTATACATTATATACATATATGCATTTTCAGTTAAATGAAAAAAATTAAATATGACCTAAAATAAACAATATGCATTTCCAAAATTGCACACTGAAAAAAGAATACTTATTCAATCCCCTCTGCTACTGAATAAAGCATGACATTGAAATGAAACTGAATAAAGCTCATATTTTACTGGCAGCAGACGTAGCGGAACCTTTATTGTTCCAATTGCCGTTTCTCGCCGGAATTATTTTATGGCACGCTGTGGCTGTCAGTGCGTTTTGATCAGGTTTTGATTCACATTGAACTTAAATATCTAGAAAATCTATACACGTGAAAGACTATCCCAGTCTATCAGCCATGAAACCTGCGGTGGACGAGATGTTTCCCGAAGGTGCTGGACCATATGTGGACTTAGACGAGGTTTGTTTGCTAATATTAGCATTTCGGCTAACCATGGACTGTTTATATTCTGTCTATGCGGCTAACACTCGTCTACACCATTACTTTTTATATATATATATATATATATATATATATATATATATATATATATATATATATATATATATATATATATATATATATATTTTTTTTTTTTTACAATAGCCAACCGACTCTATGTTTATATCTGTTATCTAGGCCTCTTTCTTCCAGTGGATTGTACTTTTAATAATTTACTGTTTTCATATATTTCACCAACATTCAACACCCATGTATATATATACAATACAAAATAATATGACTATCAAATATAACTTTCAAAATACTGTAGAAGAATGTGCATAGTGTTAATCTTGTTTCCTTTACTAGTTCTACATAAGGGACATGTTTATGTTCCTGAGTTCTGAACGTAATAATAATATGATGCATGTTTCTTGTGCTACAGGCTGGGGGAAGCACAGGACTGCTCATGGACCTGTCCGCCAATGAAAAGGCAGTGCATGCAGACTTCTTCAATGGTAATAATTCATGCAGCACTACTAGGGTGACCATATGTCCCTATTTACCAGGTACAGATAGTCCTCTGTCCTAGCAGATTTATAAAACCAGTGATTTGTCCCAGTTTTATACAAGAAATGTCCCAGGTGTCCCTATTTTTGAACAATTTGATCTAAACCAGGACTAAACTGGGACTAAACCAAGACTACATCAGGTCTAAACCAGGACTCAAACAGGACTATCACAATTTTGGACTAATCTGATCCCTGCCAACAGTAAAGAGGAGCATAAATTGTTATTTGTTTAGCCAAAATACAGAAAACTGTGTTTGCTATTCACCATCAAGCAAAAAAATAAAATAAAAAAAAGTGCAGTGAGAGAAGTCCTTCAGATTATGATACGAGAATGCACAATGTTACATGGTCTTTTCACAGGTTTATTATACCAAACATCTCAACACGGGAGTGTCCCAGTTTTGAATTTTGAAAATCTTGGCACCTTAAGCCCTACAGCCATTTCAAAGCAGTCTGAAAAAGTCATATCATAAATACTGTTGTGATATTAGATTAACATTTTTGGAAAGATTCTGGACACAATTATTTTAGCTGTGGACACTATAGATTCAGGCCAGTGATACTTCACTTTGAGATCTGGGCTAAAATAGTCACTCAAAGAGCATTTTCCCTTAAACTTAAAAGTAAATTTAGACATTATATCCAGTGTCTTGGCACTACATGCGTCTATCTTTTACACAAGCTCACAACTTTTCAAAATGCCTCCATCATGAGTAGGCTATTACATATTATTATGCTCAACAATATAATTCAAAGTTATCTACTGTATGCACTTCACAGATCCCATTATAAGCAGACACATTTTCAGGCTTCCTAAAGATTGTGCTGCTGTCTTTAAGTATGTTCACAAGGACAGCATCTGCCAGAAGTCTTAGTTCATGTAAAATGTAACTCTGCCTCTTACTTTGGCATTGGTTCCTGCAGATATTGATCTATTTGTACACAGCCAGACTTCAGTGCATAGAAGTCATTCCAGGTTTCCTTTGGCTATTAGACGCAAACAGGCATTTCATTTAAAATTGATTTAGAAGAAAAAATGGTTTGATGAATTTTGCAATTTTTAAATCCGAGCCAGACATCCATTTTGATTATAAAAAAAAGAAGTAATCAATGCTGCTATGCTTGTTTTGCTCTTAAATAGAAAGTTTTCATAGTTTTCAAAATGTGATTATGATGAATGTGTAAACTATTGTACTATAATAAAAAAGAAAACATTTACTCAAGATTTTTTTTTTTTTTTTTCAATTTTGACAATCTTCAGCCACATCTGACTTACCCATTAAGCATCTACGCAATATCAATAGAGCTTGTTTGCCATGTTTGAAGCTAGCGTGCTAAATTAGACTCCATAGACATGCATTACCCAAAACCTTGTAAAGTAAACAAAAGAACCATGTAACTGCTGGGTCACTGCTGGTAAATGCATATATTCTGACACCCTATGGAGTCAGAATACTTTGATTGGTCTACCATCAGGCTAATTGAAAATTCTGTCATACGTAAGAACACAGTCCCAAGCTCTATATACCTATGAATTGTTTTGTACTTAATAATATGAAGTATTAGTGCTGGACTTTGTGTACTTGTTCCTTCTGTGTTCTGAAGCACATTGAATCTATTAGCGTGTTGTATCAGTCGTCCGTTTGGCGTCACCCCTATGTTGCACTCACAGCAGGGTCCCTCATTTACAGGCCCCCGAACATTCCTCTTTTTACAAACTTTGTTCTAATGTAGTGTGATGTCTGACCTGCGGCGCTCACATCAAACAGCCTTTAGTGTTCCATATGCGGCACACTTTTCCCTCAGCGGGCTCCTCCATGTGATGTCCACAAGCTCTTGTTCCATTCAAGACGTGGACCATGTGAGTGAGCGTGTCACCATAATTACTATATCGACTTATCATTCAATATATGCCACACAGAACAATATTTTTTCCTGATCAATAAGTATTGAGTATATCTTTTCTTTGCACTTGTGGGATTGTTTTTTTTTTTTTTTTTTCAGTATTAATATTTTATAGTATTAGTATTTTTTGTAGTACCTGATTTTTTTCCTATGTGTATTTAACCAACATTTGTCTCATTGCAGATATATTGTATAACAGCTCTTCAGGTTAAAATATGTCCACTATGTACTTTCTCCATCTAATTATAAAGCATTTAATTGAACAAATATAGATTCAGGAAGTATGCATTAGCATGCTAGTTGCTTTGCTGTGATCGCAAAACTCTCATTGTGGTGAATAATTTGGATGCTCGGAATGCATGAGGGCCATTAGAAACAGTTTAAAATGAACTAGTTGTTTTTCTTGTTTTTAAGACAGTAAAAATCAGGTACAGCACTTTTAAGCTTCTGTAGTAACAGTACTACTATTACGAATTACTACTGATACTGTCTGATTGTGCCATTTATTTATTGCTATCTTAGAAAAAGGATCACTGGAATAGTAGTTTCAGTAGTATTATTGAATTTCTCTTGGGATCAATAAGGTGTACGTCTCTCTCTCTCAGTAAACAATAAACAATATTATTGTTTAAACAATACAATACATACAATATTTTATGTTTATATTTATATGTTTATTGTCTCATCTCTAGTGAGGAGGCTAGGAGGATGTGTCTGGACTAAGCTATTTAAAAGAAAATGAATGCATAAACCTCACAAGGTTACTGTGTAAGGTCATTACTTACGTTTTAGAAACAAAAGGGAGTGACTTGTAACTATGAGGCTGGCAGTTAAACCCCTCCCAAGCCTGTTCAAGACACAAAATCAAGGCACATTTTACCTACCGTGACTAGAAATGTTCTAAACTACTAGATAATAGTCTCACGAATGACAATTAGAGAAAAAGAAGCAGCATCAAGTAATTTCAAATGATCTGTAAACTGAAATGTAAAGTGCTTTTAGGGCTTTTTATATGGCTGGCTATGTTACGTATACATAATGAAGGCTTGGTGTGGAGTGAGTGAATGATTTGACTTAATGCATACAAAAACACTGTATCTTTCACATTGAGAAAAGTGGTGTGAAGAGTTGTGTGGATAAATGCTTGATTATGTGAAGCTATTGAGACCTAAGCGCATATTCAGCTCTTCAGTGTGTCCTATTTAATCAGACATTTTCAGCTTTGGATATCTGTGTATTTGCAAGGTCTCTGCCTCATTAAAAAGTAAAGTTTTTGAGTCACCCATCCTACTATCCCTATTCATTTGCAGCTGTGAATAGCCACTCCACTAGTAGCTGTAAAACCTGTTACATAAAAAAGGGTTAATAGCCACATATAGCTCCTGTGTATTAGGAAAAAGTTAAGATTTAAAGACTTTCTAGTTTCCTACAGACTTGATGACAAATAGTTGTAAAACTGTTTTTGAAAACCTATATCCATAAATTATCTTTGGTGATTAATGGATTAAGTGAATGTGCAGAATGCAGTGAAATTAGTGTCTGTGACTGTAGTTGACTTAATAAATTAGTAAACGGCTCTGACTCTAAGTACTAAGTATGTATGTTTGTGGGTTGTCAAAGGTATCAAAAAAATCAGATACTATTGATGCTAAAAATATCAAAACTTACTTATTTTGAGTAGGTACCAATACAAAAAAAGTCCCATTCGCAGGACAGAAATGAACCTTTCCTGAATAGCTTTAGAATGATTTTGACTAGTATGTGTGACCTTATACTTGACTGACATAACGCATTCTTCAACTGACTAAAGAAAGAGTGTTTTGTATTATCATTGTGGTATTAGAATTGGTTTTGAGTGTCAAATTTATTCCTAGTATCAAAATCTAGTGAATTTTTTGTATTGTGGCAACACCAATGCACACAGAGAACTAAACAGCATCATCATGACTTTTAACTCATCAAGAGTTAAAAGTCTCTCCCAAAACTCCAGATAACTCACTCCAAGCATTCTCCATTCTACTGTGGTCTATAAAAATCTTTATAACTCCAATATAATAATGAGTCGACTAGTAAAAATGCAGTACACTAAAGATACCATTTACTCTCTAATCAACTAAATGCCAAAAGAACTATAACCCTGTTGAATTCATGTTTCAGTATTATGTAGACTAAACAAGACTGCAACAGATTCCTTATAGGTGCTAATGGACAGTTTCGGACCACAGTTATGTAACAATATGTTGCCTGAAATATATGTTGACCTGCCTCAGAACGGTTCTTATGGGAACTTCATGTGAGAATAACTCAGCAGCTGCAGTTTGACAAAAGGAATCCAGTGACTTCATATTCTCTGTCTCTCATTGTAGTAATGTGCTTGGGAAGGCTTTAATTAGGCCCAAAATATTGTTTTTTGACTTGTTTGTTGTCAGCGCAGCCTTGTGTCTTGTAAAAGCTTCAAAATACCTGCATTTGCACATTTAACAGCAGACCACAGGCTCCTTTTATCCTCTTCTGTATGTGTTGTGTGTAGAATGTCACGATATCAGTTTTGAGTGTAAAGTAGATACAGTTTAAGATTGATGACCAAACAACTTTGAAATCCTTAATTTGATTAGTCACTTTATCTAATATATTATCTTTCCAGGTTTATGAAACCTTCTGAATGATAAAGTTAAATTAATCTAACATGAACAACCAAAGAGCATTCAGGATTACTTATTTGATTTTTGCCTTTAAAATAGTCACAAGTATTTTTTTTTTAAAGTCTTATAATTAATTGAAGGCTCTGCTCTGTCTGAGGCTTTATTAAACTTTAACCTGTGCTTTATTTGAACTCAATCTGACCGTAATGAACTGATTTAGCTACAACAGGTGATCAGAATTCTGCTTTTAAACAAGTCGCTCGCACATAAAATTACATCATATTGTGTTTTATTCTAAAGCTTTCAGGCAATCTTAAAACCTTTTTGGTAGTGTTTGTTTATGTGTGCATCGTGTCACCATGGCAACTCCTAAACATTTCACCATTAGAGATACATGTAGAAAGGCCCCAGCATGATGACTGCACACTGTCAATAATGACCTAAATAATCCCAATTATGTATTGACAGAATAATCTTGACATCTTTAGTTGTGTGCAGTACAGACTGTAACTGATCCTTGTAATAGGAAATGCCTTTTTGACTGCTCGACTTCTAACACGTATTCCTATTCTGTCTGTTTTGGGGAAAATTAAAGCACTTGATATTCTGGATGAACCATATTTTATCAATAATATACAATCTATGGTGCAGTGCAGGGTAGATTTACACATCCAGTATCTCCTGTGCTACCCTCTGGAGTTACAAGTACATTGAAGATAACCGTTTCAAATAGGACAACAAAATGTCACATTTCTTCTGTTTTTAAAGGTGAACCTTTCTGTTGAGGGTATGTCACCTGCTTGACTCCTTGATATTCTACAGTGCAGCCTTAAACCTTTCTTCCTCTATTGAACCAAGCAGATGATGCCACCATGCAGGCCAAGTTACAGGTCAGATCTGTGGAGAAAAGACACCGCAAAGTTGAGCTTTAGAGGATACAAATGACCAGCACCATACTTCAGTAAAATTGGAAATGTGTTCTTTGGGAAGGGCATCTGGCATAAAACAAACCTATTATTTGTACTCTGATTTTTATACAGCAAATAATTTATAAACAGTAAAGTAAAAGTAAAGTAACTTCTTGGCATACTCAAACACACTTAAATTATTAGAGATTTTTATACAGTGAAACCTTTTCATAGTACATTCGTGATCCCTGCAGAGCTCCATAGTGGCACACATGCTCTAAAAATGTCACAAACATGAAACTTGACGTACTGTACGAGTTCTCCCTAGTGAAGCGAGTTACTAATGATTCCACTCTGTCCCTGGTAGTAAATTTTGTGTTGAATTTTTTACTAGTTACTTGACAGAGTTACTGCACTCGGCAATGTCAAGCAGATGTCTCGCATGGATTTAAGTAGGTCCACACCCAAAAAGCGACAAGATATATGGAACCCTGCTTGGTGAAACTAGGTTAGACCCCTTAAGCATGTACCAAGTGTGCAGACTCTTAAATGTAGGTTGTACAGGAGAGCTGGCAGAGTTAAGGATCCAAAAAGTGTGCTCAAGGAATAATGTTAGTGCTAATCATATTTCTTCAGTGAAAGTAAAGGTGAAAAGTTTCTTGAGTACAGTGTAACCTCAGTCAGTGCAAATAATATGTATGTAATGTAAGTTTTTACAAAGACCATAAGAGATAAGAGTGTATTCCCATATTGTAAAGCATATATTTTATTGTATTGCTGCTGTTAAACCTTGCATTTCCTTTGTGATATTGCTTGTTAGCATATTTACAATAGAAAGAAGAAACTCAAAACAATATATTTTTTCCAAACTTACTATTATTTTGACACCCAAAAATGCTGATTGTCTCCCTTTCTCCTAGAATAACATTAAAGGTGCACTATGTAACTTTTCTGTCCACAGTATGGCCTTAAACTAATACGTATATTTATTCAATTACGAGTGTTTTTATTCCTGATAAAACCGTGTGATTTTACTGTGGTTGTCTTCATGGAGATAGAGAAGCCTAATGCCATATTGTGGAACATTCTAGCATAGCACTTGGTGCTTTTCAGATAAAAATCTAATAGGTAAATTCACAAATGTTGAACCTGATCATTTCTATTAATGACTTGACCCATAAACTGGCTGTATCATGACAAAAATCTGCATTTTAATTATAGTCTTTTTAGCTGCTCTCCATCTGTACTAAAAATGTGCCTAAATAATGATATGATGTTTTCTAAAACTAAGCACTAACATCTCCATGGAGACAAGGAGGTGAGGGACAGTCTTCCAGAAAAGTTTCATAGTATACCTTTAAATGTTGCACTGTAGTGTTGGAAAAAATCTATACAAATTAAATACTACTTGCATCGAAATAAAAAATCCTGTGATGATGAAACTGCTGCTACAAAAAGTTCAAAAAGTTACCTTAATTAAGTAAGTATGTGCAACTGATTCCTCCCAGTGCCCATGTCGGCTGTAGACACAGGATACACAGAGTCTTGAGCGTGTTAGTACAGTTCACCCTCTGACCTTTGACCTCACAAACCAGAGGACCCACAGAAGACCAAGTTTGTTCCAGATTGCCTTTCTTTCTCAGCCTTTCTACTTTTCTACCTGCTTCATGATGATATGGTTAACTTTAATACATACAGTTCTCTGAAGAAAAAAAGTTTGAAATCAAGGTATATAAAGAAAAGTGCATTACTGCTAAAATTTATAAAAAACTTGGGCATATTTATTTTGGCCTTAGTGAGATATAATGTGCTGAATGTCGCTCCTCACTCTTCATCCTCATTCCATGCTTACTTTTGTACTGTCTATTAAAAGGCATGACTTTTATTGCTTTTAGTTCAGGAAAAATGCTTTACTCCATACTGGATATTGTAAAAGAAACAATCTGTGAAAAAATCTGACTGAAGAGTATTATCTATATGTTTTAATGGCTTTTTGTAGAATGAAAATTGTGAGGGTGCAATGGCAATTTTATCCAATCAGATGTTGTAGAAAATGCAAATTTTTCTTTTTTAAAGGAACAAACAAACAAACAAGACAAAATTTAACAGAACTGAAATAATTCAGATTTAAAAATGCTAAATTATTTTGTCGTGTAGTCTGCACTGAAATGGAAGGATCATGTTCTTTGTAGTTCCCTCTGTTTTATTGTATTGTACTGTATATAACTGTATTGTACTGTATGTTACTGTATTGTATTGTATATTATTGTATTGTACTGTATATTACTGTAGTACATTTGAGGATACCGTATCACAGTACTTCACTTACATCCAAAGTAACAAACAGAGAAGTGGGAGTGACATGTTCCAGTTTGTTCCAGTAAAATTCAGCGGCGCATTTATCAGCTGTAAAGAGAAAAGTATTTTATAAAAACATATTTTTTAGGAGAAGCATCATGTCTTCTCAAGTCACGGGCCCCAAGTCTTAGTCCATTTTATCAAGTCAAGTCTCAAGTCCTAAAAATAGAGACTCAAGTCTGACCCAAGTCCAAGTCACGACTTGCAAGTCTGGGGAACTCAAACATCATCTAGTTCAGGGGTGGGCAAACTTTTTGGCTCGGGGGCCACATAGGGTTCTAAAATTTGACTGAAGGGCCGGACAGAAGACGGGACATGATGTGTTCAGAGCCCGGCTCCATTGCACTTGTATTTACTCTCATGTAGGACGTATTCTGCACTACGCGCTGCAACTTTTAGACATGTAAGTTCCAGAACTCATGAAAAGTAAAACGAGGTCTGCCCCACTGCACACCAAAGGCAAGTATGTGTCCCATAGCCCATGCTAACACGCAGACTAACCAATCCTTTAAGACTTTCTAATACAGTGAGAACGAGACTTTAGACTTTGTTTCACACAGATCAAAAGGGATACAGTGTAGCTTATGTCTTGAACACTTCTACCTCATTCATGGTCCGAATACACCGCCCGAAATGACTCCTGTCAATACTTTCCCATAAAGCATTGCGGCCAACAGAAGATGCCGCACCTCAAAGTATATACAGTGCGCCATCTACCGGGAAACGCCGGAAATGCAAGAAAGATAAAACAGCAGTAAGGTTTATTTATTATAATTTGGTCAAGTTCTGTGGGTCAATTTGAATGGCTGCATAAGGTCACCGGGCACTAAATAACTGGATACAGTATTGCTGCTTGTAGCTGCCTCCAGTTGACGTAGTGTCACTCACTGGAACTTCATCAGAAAAAATCCCATGGGCCGAGACAAGATTTTTCTCATAGAGGCAATGTACTCACAAACTGCTCGTGTTCGTCTGACAGGTCATCTACAGCTTTCAAAAATATTGGATTTGTTGGCGATTTTTACCTATTTTTAGATCATAAACTTTTTCTCGCTCAAAATCCTTCAGTTGTCTTAAAAAAAACACTATATTCGTTAGCTCCTGCTCCGCTCTAGCTCCTCTCGCTCTGATTGGTCAAAATGATCACGTGATACACGAGCTCACGCTCCGTGCGTGTGGTCGCGTGCATTCGCGTGTGCCCGTGGGAGAAAAGAGCACTACTGCGCATGCTCGGTCGGCCCACAGCCACCGGAAGTACCTAGCCATGCTAGGCTAATGTGGGATCATGCACCATTGAGCTCTGCACATTAATTTGAATGGGCGGCCAATTTGGAACGTGAGGGGTTTGGCACTAGTCCTTCCATTACCGTATATCACAGGTCTGACACCTCTGACTAAATCACAAAACAAGAGATACTGCATTATACATAAGACAACGTCACGCTGAGTAATTTTAGTACTTTCACTCTGCATATCATGTTGCATAATATAACATGACATGGTGACGCATTGAGGTATAATTATTTCACAATTTGATCAGAATTAGTGCAGTCTTATGTCTTGAACACTTCTACCTCATTCATGGTCCGAATACACTGCCTGAAAAGACTAATGTCAATACTTTCCCATAAAGCATTGCGGCCAATAGAAGCCGCCGCACCTCAATGTATATATAGTGCGCCGTCTACTGGGAAACGCCAGAAATGCAGGAAAAATAAAACATTAACAAGGTTTATTATTATTATTTATTCAAGTTCGGCGGGCCGGATTAAAAGGTTTAAAGGGCCGCATATGGCCCCCAGGCCGTAGTTTGCCCATCCCTGATCTAGTTGGATAATAAATACTTGTATTTTAAAATGAAAAGGAATTAACGCAAACTGATCAGTTGGTCCATTACACACAGTATTTGGTGATCTGAGTGCACTGCAAGATCACCCATTTGATTATTACATCCTTTTACATAAAAATCTTAAATTGTACACATTTTGAAGCCGTCCCAATCCTGAAAAGAGATTGAGGACAAATTAATGTGCAGTTCACTTTCCTGTAATACCAAAGTTCTAGCCATTTTCCTTGTTACGTAACTTATTTTGTACATTCTGTCTCCAGATTTTGAAGACCTGTTTGACGACGATGACATCCTGTAAGAGAAGCTGCACATCCTCTGCGCGTTGACGGACCATATTCAACCCTCTTTCCCCTCTTAACTTTTTGTGGACACCAAACCTGACATTTTCTGCCCTAATAACATACAATTTGGCTTTCATAGTTGTCCCATTTCTGCCGGGTTTTAAAACATCCCTGAAAAAGTGGCCATAGGATCCAGATGTTGTGAAATAGTTAACATCGCAGGGATTCTTTCATATGGTTAAATTATGAGGCAGTATCGCGCTGGCGGCTCATACCCAGTTGAAGCTGGATTGTAGGTTTGTGCGAGGCTAAAACACCTGTTAGCTTCTGCAGTAATTACATGTGATGGGCCGAGGCTCCAAGGCCCTAAACTGCTGCAGCTGGGATCATATGATAAATGTGCAGAGCAGAGGAGGGAGACTGAAAATATGTAAAGGAGGACTATGGAACTTTTCCGGTGGAGGCAGGTTGTCTGTGGAGATTGCATGATTTGACTTCAATGTTTCACAGTATGACATTAAACTTTATCTTTTCTTCTTCGTGACCCCCGCTTTCTGTAATATTGCATGTTTTATGGTGTTTTTGAGCAGTAAAAACGCCTGCAATTGAATTTGTTACTTCAAAGATGTTATGTTACATCATTTTCATCTTCCAAAGTTATTCTTGAATAATTCTTGATTTATTATTAGATCAATTTAATAAGAGACTGTGGAACATTCCAGGTGAAGCAGTATATCCTTAGTGATGGAGCCCAACCAGGAAAGTTACACAGTGCACCTTTAAAGTGAAATAATGTTTTATTTATCTGACAGACAGCAGGTAATTCCCTTGTTAATAGGGCTTAATTGATTAATCGCAGCTAATTGATTATGGAAACAATCATCAACGAATATAGTAATGGAATTATCATTTTAACTGGTTTATATAGAGGTTTAAAAACATGACATGAGCCCTAGAGAGATTTTGGAACCATGACAAAGCACTTATTACATCAAAATGACAGTAAATGTGAAAACTCGTCTGTAAAATAATCAGGATGGCCTCAGGCGGCTTCACTGTATCTTTATCTGGGTTAAATTTAGTCTTACATTCACAGGCCTTTTGTATTGTGAACAGCTAATTAGTTAATTGAAAGAATAATTGAATTTAATTAATCTATTATTAAAATAAGTGAAAGTTGTAGTAGCCCTACTTGTTAATACACACAGATTATTATTACATGATTGACATAAAGGCATGATCTTAGAGGTGGAATATATATTTAAATTTATTTATTTTTCAAACAAGGAAAAAATGACATTTCAGCACAATAGTTTGTCCACTTTGTGTAAAACTTGAACTTCAACCACAACAGGTACAGATGCTTTTAGTGCATTTTGGATGTATTACTAGAATATTTTCTGATAATCTTCAATGGGATAGAAAAGAAAGTATTTATTTTTGTCACTATTACCCACTCCTCAATCGCTGTTAAGTCTTCTGTTGCTCCTGTATTCTGAGAATGTACAGTCATGATTCAGACACAGATGTATTTTTATGTTGTATATTTGTATCTCTGTGAAGCACTTTGAGTTGCATGTAAATTAATGGTGTTTTATAAATTATTTTGCCTTGTATTTTTGTAACAATAAAAAAACAGAATAAATAGCACTATGTTTACGTTTTTTTTACAGATTTTTTTTAACGTTTTATTTTAGATGATGGAAATATTAACCATCAGGCCATGGAAGTTTTGAGGTCCACTTCTGCGATGATATTTTTTTAGCCCAACCAGCTGGCTGCATAAGCAAAAAGAAAATGTGCAGCTTTATTAAGACTCTTTTAAGGTGATACTGCAAAAATGTGATTACACTTCTGACTTCTTTAGCCTGTAGTAAAACAAGGTCTAAACAGTCGGTATTGGCACCGGGCATGAAAAAAAACAAAACAAAAAAGCATCATTTAGTCTCTATTGTTATTGTAAAGGAGTAAAAACTATTTGTCAGTCTTCTCTTGGCTGTTATGGTAGTAATGCTCTCGAGTGCTACACTTAGTACAGATCTTGTAGAAAGTATACATAGTGTATATTTTATTTACACTACATAAGCCTTAATTCATCAGTATGGAGTAAGAAAACTTTCAGAAATATTTATGTGCATAAGATAGAAATCCATGCATATTTGATAAATCCGTGCATATTTGGGTGTAATTGAGCATAAAATAACTATTTGTAAACTCTTAAATGAGTCTAGTCGTACATAAAATGTATTGTGTGCATTTTATCCATCAGAATACGAATTGAAAAGTTACGACATCAAGAATTACAATCACAAAATGAAAATTTACGCTTATGGTTTCTTCAGTATGAATACAAATTCACAGAAGCGACTCGACTGTCAAAAATACGTTACCACTTCACAGGCATTATTTACTGAGTAGAAGAAACATCGATCAAGATGCCGGACTTTTGCGCCACATACAGACTGAACCTCTTGTTAATAAATAACCTAATGCCTGTGAAGTGATGACGTATTTTTTAAAGTAGAGTCGCGTCTGTGAATTCATATTCGTACTGAAGAAATTAAGTAATGAAGTAATTTTGTGATTGCAATTCTTGATGTTGTAACTTTTCAGTTTGTATTCTGATGGATAAAATACACACAACATACACACTTTATGTATGACTAAACTCATTTGAGAGTTTACGAATATTTATTTTGTGCTAATCTACAGCCAAATATGCATGGATTTCCCAAATACACACAGATTTCTATCCTATGCACACGAATATTTCTGAAAGCTTTCTTACTCCATACATCAGCACTTCAAAATCAAACCCCATTTAGAGCAAAACAACACCAGTGAGCACACGACTCTCCAATGACCAATGACTCAGAACAGACTATACTGTGAAATGTGATTCCAGGACAAAAAAGTAACATGTCCATGGAGACAGTCGCATGGCAAACCCTTCACCAAAGTTACACAATGTATCTTTAAGCATATCCTGTAATGTAACATTCACCGAAGCCTCTGTTGTACCATTGTATTGACAGTATACCACAAAGCTTAACAAGGTGCTTTGCCATTAGTTTATTTATTTCATTCCAGTAACATTCCTTATATTTTCTGACATATTTATCCACATATATAGACAGACATCTCTTTTGCTGTCGGCACTATGGCAACAACCATTTTTCTCCCTGACAACCTGTACTTTTTCAAATGCATCAATTGCTAGTATTATAGCTTTCACATAACTTACATTAGAGAGGAAAAATACATGCTTTCTATTATAAAATACTATATAGTATTTGTATCTGGGCATAACTAAACATGTTTACTGCTTGTGTCTGTCTGGATGTATATTATTGTATGTTGGATCCAGGAGCCCAGGGCCACGTGGCAGTTCCTCATCCCAGCAGTGGAGCTTGGATCTGGGATAATGGTTGGACAGCAGCAGCCTGGTTCATTAGTGCTCCTACGCGTGACGTCTTTTTCCACTAATGACTGCAGTCCTCACTAAAGCTGTGGATGTGAGCCAAAATCTGCAAGTGTAGGAAAAAGAAACCAGGGAAATGGTCTAATATTTAACTCTCGGGCAGTCTGTGTAATTAAACGATTGGATTTTTACATAACATCAACTAAGGAACATAGTTTAAAAAGTGCAGTGCTTTCTTTTATAATGAGGACTGTTTAAAAGTATTAGATTTAAAGCTGCACTATGTAGCTTCAAGGAGGATGTTCAGATCAGTGGAGAGAAAAACGTGCTCTAGGGTTGTCAGAAGTATCGAAAATCAGTGTATTGTTATTAAATCTATTGAAACTAGATACTCATTTGAGCCACATTCACAGGACAGGAGCAAACCTTTCCTGAATAGCTTCAGAATGATCTTGTGCTGCATCAAAATAAGAGCACATAGACCCAAGGGACCACTATGGAACCTACCTGGACGACTGCGGGATTACACAGATATAAGACCACGTGGTACCGTAATGAAAGTACTACAGTTTATTGTTTAGATTTAAGTTCTTTTGTATAAATAAAGAGTTTCTATTTGGTATCGGAATTGGTATTGAGTGTCTATTCTTTAGTGGCAAAGTCGAAATTGAAATTTTAATATTATGACAACACTAACATGCTCACAGCGAGAATGCATATTTCTAAGGTATTTTTTTAACAATGAAAATGATCTCTAACCAATTCAAGATGGATATGTTTAACAGCATTGATTTTAAGGTAATTCACATCTTTTATGGCCATAGTTTAGCTAGGCTGGTGCCGCTTAGTGCCTCTGCTCAATTTCATTTCTCACAACTAGGTCAGGAATCAGAATACACTTGACAGTTTGCAAGAACTCCGGAAGTTGTGAACCACGCACTGGCCAATCAGCGAAGATCTGTGAAACCGGCAATTACTTGGACACCACTGAGCATTCCGGCGCATTACATACGTTTCGACCAAACAGCAGCGATTGGCTAAATAAAAAAGTATCCGCCTACCATAGAGCAAATAAATCCTAATGCTGCAAGGTCACACGATTTCCACGAAGTGAAACCAGCTCAATCACACCAAAACATAACAAAATAATGTTCAGTTATTTGTAGTGTGAACAAGCAACCACTAGTTTTCAAATTCAGATTTTAGGTCAAGAATCCTTCAAGTTAGTACATGCCTTTTGAACAGAGTTTAAACCAAAAGAGAAACTTGTGTACAAGAATTCAACCCACAACCTCCTAGTGCTAACCGTCATTCTGCCACAGCATAACAGACATTTATTCTTTCACTTACATCATTAAGAGCATTGATCTGCGAGTCAGGCGCTCCCTCCTGTCTTTGGAGTCTTATTATTCATATTTTAGTCAATTTTGGTCTGATGCAACATAGAGATATTGTCAGAAATCTGTTGTGTTTTAAAAAAAATATTTTTCTTTAAAGAGAGTTTCCTGAATAAAGCGGTGATATAAAAACAACAGACTTTTTCACTTCATTAGTTTGCCTCCTCTGTCATCTTCTGCTTGCTGTTTGTCATATCGTTTTATTTTACTTATCCTGCTCTCTCTTGCTGTCAGTATTTAAGTGGCCGGTAAAAATCAGATAAGTAGAATAATTAGATAACCCAATGTGTGTTTGTGTGTGTGTTTATATGGAGAGTAGTCTGATCCTCAAAAACACCTGGTGACAAGTGTCAGTTAATCAATGGATTTTTAGAGTAAGTGTTGTATTTGAAACACAATGTACAGCGTCATTTGAAATAACTCTTTCAATCTTTAAAGGTCCTATATAACACAAAATTGACTCTTGTTAGAATATTACTAACCCCCCCAAAACATATCTGGAGTTGTGTTTTATTTCATGCTTGAGTAATCCTGCATGCTCTGTTCCAACTTGTGTCATGAAGCTGTAGTTTACAGGTTAAAAGCTTCATTTTACGTTTTGTTCAGAAGAGACTGGCAATTGCAGGTGTGAAATTACCCAAATGATTCTAGTGAAGGTGTATGGAGTTTAAAACTGCAACGGAGCACTTCCTGTATTATCATATGACATCATAAGTTGGAAGAGTGTTTTCGATTTGAGAGACGAACTGAGCTTCAATATACAGGGTTTGTGTGGTTAAACATGTGTGAATGAAACAAAACACAACTCCAGGAATGTTTTTGATGAGGAACCAACTTTATAGCATAGATCAGATAATAGCGTAATCTGGACCCTTTAACATTCTCTCATTTCATCTTAGTTTTTACTACATAGTTTGCCCTTTTTGAATAATTATCCCATCAGAAAGAAATCAGATTACTCACTTCAGAGGTAACTGTGACATTTCAGTAATCTGATAACTCCAGAATCAGATAATGATAAGATTTTGGTGTGGATGTAAACATAGTAAGTGTAGTCTATAGTAGTCTAATATATAAATCAAATGTGCAATCAAGTGTAGATTTTCTACTTCTACAATTAATATTTGAGCTATTAATTTCATCACTTCTGCTAAAAAACATTTCTAGAGTAATACTGACAATACTGTTAACACAATACTGTCTACTAATACCTAATACTTTGGTACCTACCTTCTGCTACTGATAATACCTACTACCATTTCTACTTGTGCTTGTACTGTGTTAGGATGAATGACTAGGCTTAACTATTTAGTATAATTCTATAATTCATTATTGTACTGAGGTAATTTGAAGATAAGGGCTCTGATCACAGCTGTGGGACTCAGATATATGTCAAGACAAATGCATTATATTCCAAACTATCTAATAGCAAACTGCCTAAATAGGACAAGAACTACTGATAGGGATGATGTCAGGACTTGGTAGCCAGATAACACCCCGGATGGAGTCTGATTGGACTGTGCAACGTGCCAAGAGGCCTGGCTGGTCTGTGCACCAACGAAGAGGCGCTATGTATAAACCACGGTAGCCTCCCACTATAGTTTGCGTATAAAAGTCATTGTATAGGCATAAACATAAAGTCTATGCATGAGAATGTCGGCACAGACTCCTTGTACAAGTATGGCTTTCTAATACTGGAATAAGAAAATTATCTGGACTTTATTTCTGTTTCAAGTGTATTTTTTGTCTAAGCAGAAACTAATGAACACGAGAGGGAAAGGTTGTTTTCTTCAACAACTGCTCACACTGCAAATATGTGGACCACTCAATACTGCCTAATGTGTAAATAATTGTACAAATCATGTTTTCTTAGTGTCTTTCTAAATCACAAATTTGTTTTTCTTTTTTTTTTTTTTTTTTTTTTTGCCTACTCTTTGCTCACACCAAACTGCCACAAAAGCTCAATCACACATTCATACAGGTGGTGGATAAAGCATCTTCTCCTTGAACATCATTATTTATTTATTTAGTTATTCTGCACTTATATAACATTTTACAATAAAAAGAGCACTCTAGATAAACAAGTAGGTGCAGGAAGATCCAAAAGGACTATGCTTTACTTTAAAAAAAAAAAACCTTTAAAAAAAAAATCATAATTCATAAAATAATTTATTTCGACCATGGATTAAAATTCAGTGAAACATCCAAGGTACACTTTATTTTATTCACAGGGATTTTTGTCCTTTGCAACCTGCCAGGAACAGTGGGCACCAGGGGACCCATCTCCAGATATTGAGCTAATCTTGGTTAGTACTACTTTAGCTGGAGGATTTTAACTGGTGTGCATGTTTTGGGTTGATGGGAGAAACCAAAGCACCCAGAGGAAATCCAGACAGACACAGGGAGAAGCATGCAAACTCCGAACACAAAGGCCCAGGTGATCAGGGAGTTGAACCTGGAATCTTCTTGCTGTGAGTCCTAAAAACTGTTCTATAAAGTTGTTAGTAGTATTAAGCAAAGTTTCTTACACAATATAAACTACACAACTACAATTTTAATGTTTTATTCTTTAAATAAACAGGTTTATTTGTGTCTTGTAGAATGATATACGAACATTCCTGACCCGTGTGGAGGAGCGTGGCTTAAATGGCACCTTGTTAACGCTGCTCTCACCTCTGCTAATTATAGGACCCCTATTGGTGGGACAGGGACTGGACAGGAGCCAATCCCGGAGCGAGGAACAGCACGCGGCAGCCCCTCCGCAGGTCTGTTTGTTTTTAATGATCCAGCGACGCGCCTTAAAAATGTCGGCCCATTGCAGTGTCCCGTACAGGGGGAGGACAGAGCAGACCAGACGCCTCCTCACAGCACACAGGGGGACAGACTTCTCCGAGAGTTACAGGTAAGAACAAACAGGGCAAAGTTAAACTAGTTTTGTGATTTATTTATATAGACATTTAAAAATATTCACATTTATATCTGAAGCCTAAATGGAGAGTTATATTTGAAAGTAAAGGGCCCATATTACTCTGTTTCCTCATCACAAATATACCAGGAGTTGTTTTTTGTTTCATTCACACATGTTTAACTCACAAACCCTGCATATTTAGAATTGCCACTCTCGTTATAATGGGTTTACTCAAATATGTGAATGAAACAAAACACAACTCCAGGTATGTTTTTGACGAGGTAACAACTTTACAACATGGCTTAAAGCTCACAAGAGTCAATTTTGCAGAACATAGGACCTTTAATAAAGTTATTTGTCATTCTGTTGTTTTTATAACATAATATGCATGCAACAACATGAGGTACTTTTGATGATACTGGTGAATTATCTCTACAGAATTACTTATATATTCATTTAAATGCACTAAATGTTGAACAAGACCAAATACTACTACTACTGCTATAACCACCAATGCATTGCTATTATGTAACGTTTATATGGCATGGTTTTATTCAAGGATTTTCAATTTTCAGCTTTAGAAATAGCCCTTTTATCACAAAATGTCTGACTCCTTTTCATTTTTGCCCTGATTGAAATTTCCCTGCAGGCTAACAGTAACACCTGTGTCAGTCTACTTTTGACACAGTATTTGACAGCCCTTACAATTATCCATGTTTTGATGTTCTCGACTTTAATGAAGGAGTCTATTCCAGTCTTGCGGCAGCTCTTTTGTTATTTTGATATTCAGATTTCAGTCCTTTTTCTTTCCGTTCTGATCATAAAAAAGTATAAATTACTTCTTGCCCTCAATCCGCTGCATTGTCTCAACACCCTGTTAAATAGAGGGCGGTATGTGCCAAGCTCTGTTATATCATCTAATACACGCAAATGGGGCTAAACTGGAATTCAACCCTCAACTAAATCTGGACTAGACCAAGACTAAAGCAGGACTAGAACAGAACAGATCCAAGTCTAAATTAGAACTAAACTGGTCTCAAAGCACGACCATCCAGGACAAGTGTAAATGGACCCTCAAATATAATGGAAATTTGGGCCAAAACTAGCTAGAATAAGTCTTTACTCTACATATTTGCATATTTTGACTTGACTGATTTGAGCAGATTTGAGCAAATGTCCATAGAGCAAGATGTTTTACTTATTTTATTGACTTAAATGTACATTTTTAAAACTCCACTATCATCTCCTTTCTTTAAATGACCAAAATATCTTTTGAAACCTGTCAGGAGAGGTTTAAGACAAGCCCCAAAAATCAACTCTAAATCCAAGACATAAAAATAAACAAATGAAGGTCCATCCCTATTTGTTAACTTCATAAATTAACCTTTGCTGATCTTTTGTTTTACAGGAGGCACAAAACTAGAAAATGGCACGACTATCTACAATCCACACAATATTATTCCTAGGGCTTGTTGTGTTGCCAGGTAAGGATTAAACAATTAGCACACAATTATCCATTTAAGTTAAGCCTGCATGTGTTTTCTTAATAATATTAATAATAGTAATTAAGAAATGCAGTGTGTAAAGGTACTTGATAATTATTCCCGAAGGTTAGAGGTTGTTAGCAAACACCCACATGTCTGCTGAATTTATTTATTTGTCAGCTTTCTAATTAATACAATTGAGAAAACAGTTATTATGCACCTGAATACTTAATACTCCCACACACACACCTGCATGGTACTTGTGATATGTGTTGGTTAGCCTTATCCTTTTTAGAATACAGTACAAGTGTCGCATAATACATACATAATACAACCAGAGTGCATAATATAAATTTGAAAAGCTAAAATGTAATTATTGTCTTGTGTTATAATATATTGGTGAGTTAAAAATTAAGTTTTTAGATCAAGCATGGATGGAATAACATTTAATATCTAGTATACCCAGTCTGACCTCAAGCGTGTGTCTTTGGTCCTCTGCTTTTCTTTGGACAATGCTGAGAAATACATTCAGTATATGTCAAATACAACTGTTTTTGGGATCTGTGTTTGAGATTTGGTCTTAATTATATTGAGTACGTTGCAATTTTTTAACAAATCATACTGGGAATTCTTGCACTAAAAGAAAAAATGCTACCAAGATTAATAGTTTAAGTCTGAAAACATTGTTCTTACTGATTTACCTTTACCTTCCAATATATCAGTGCATATGGACCATCTTGTTGTACCACTTATTTATGATATATTTCTCCAAAAAATACAATGTGTCAACGTGGAACCTGGTCTCCCCCCTGGTGAGTTTTTTTAAAGTGCAGCTTATGAGTTTGTGTGAGGGCCCCACTTTGTACTTTTACAAGTTTGGTTTAAACAGGCTCCTGTAGCTGCGGTTCAAAGTCCTGGTCTGTAACAGGAGTTTAATGTTCAGGAAGTCATCTGCACCTGCTGAGAGGAAAGCCTGCATGACATCTTATATCTGTAAGGAGGGAAAGAGAGAGGAGGAGAGGAAGAGTGGAAAAGAAATGGAGGAAGAGAACAAATGGGGAGGAAAATGAGTAAATGCAGATGAGAGAGATCAAGTTTGAGCAATATCACCAACGAGAGAGAAAGAGAGGACTGATAAAGATGGACTAAGAGAAAAAGAGAGACAGATGGAGAGAGAAGAGCTGTAACTCAGTGTGGTCTGTGTGTTTTACAGAGTTCCTGAGGGCAGTGCCAGTCAAGCATGAAGGTGAACAAGGTGAGAGACTGAAATATGGCACTCACAATTAAAAAATACAGTTGGGATGCTCCTTATTCCTTTATTCCTTTATTTCACATGCAATAATGACGTGTAAATGAGAAGTTGTTCCTGTTAAAATATTAAATAAATGATTAAATACTGAATAAATGATTAAACACATATTTTAACGCTACCATTTATAGGTTTATTTGATTTTTTTATTAACAGTAGATGGCAGATGTGAAACCCTTCCCCCTCTTCCCTCACCTGGCTTTTGTTCAGACTCACCTGTGCTCTCAGACCAAAGCTGCCATAATATAATATCTAATTATAATCATCATAATCATAATATTTAATTACAGATGGGAGCTTTACAAAAATCAAGTCATAAAAATAGTTTATTGATACATATTTTACTAATAAGGCTTTGATGAATCATTAATTGCATCTATCGTTTTGAATAATGTGAAAATAGCTTAAAAATAAGGAAAAGAAAGAGCAACATTTGTACCTTTGCAAAGATGTTTTTATCTTGCTGCTCCACTTCTGTTTTCACAAATGTGCTGTTATTTAAAACTGTATCAACCAGAAGAGCACAAAAGCTTCTGTGAAACAAAAATGCCTGCGAATGTGGCATTTCCACAAAGAGAATAAATAACAGAATTCAGTTTTAACATAGATAATAATCATCATTTTGTGTTTGGGGCGTAACAATATGTACTTGTTTGATAGAGCACAAAAAGTACTTGCCTTTTATGTGAACAATAACAAGTCAGTAAACAATGGAGCTTGTTCAATTAAAAAAATCAGACTAATCCTAAAACTTTAACAAGACTCTATATGTTTTAATGTAATAAACATTTTAGCTCCTGTCAGCAGCTTTGCCTCGTCTCAGCACACCACTAAATTAGCATGTGGCTTTAAGTACATGCACTTTTATAGTTTTCTTTAGACGTCTGCTTGTTTATTTTTACTGCCCATCTGGCCACATTAGTGATCATACCTCTCCCCCCCCCCCTCTCTCCTCTCTACACCTTCTTTCTCTCTCTCTCTCTCCCTTTGTTTTGGTTTCTCAATTTTCCACACATTTAATCTTTCCTCTCTCTTCTTCTGTTCTCTCTCTTTGCACCTCCTGCTTCCTCTTTCAATCTCTCTCTCTTTCTTTCACTCTTTCTTCTGTATCCCTCTCTTTCTATGTCTGTCTTTTTCTGTGTCCCTTTCTTTCTTGTCTCTCTCTCTTTCTTCTGAGTCTCTCTCTTTCTTATGTGTCTCTCTCTTTCTTCTATGTCTCTCTCTTCCCTCTGTCTCTCTCTTTCTTCTATGTCTCACTGTTTCTTCTGTCTCTCTTTCTTTTGTATCTTTCTCTTTTGTGTCCCCGTCTTTCCTCTGTCTCTCTCTTTCTTATGTCTTTCCCTTTCTTCTATCTCTCTGTTTCACCTGTCTATCTCTCTCTTTCATCTGTCTCTCTCTTTCTTCTGTCCCTCTCGCTTTCTTCTATCTCTCCCTTTCTTCTGTTTCTCTCTCTCTCTTTCTCTCTTTCTTCTGTCTTTTTCTCCTTCTTTTATGTCTCTCTTTCTTCTATGTCTCTCTCTTTCTTCTGTCTCTGTCTCTCTTTCTTCTATTTCTCTCTTTCTTCTGTCTTTTTCTCCTTCTTTTATGTCTCTCTTTCTTCTATGTCTCTCTCTTTCTTCTGTCTCTGTCTCTCTTTCTTCTATCTCTCTCTTTCTTTTGTCTCTCTCTCTTTCTTCTACCTCTCCCTTTCTTCTGTCCCTCTCTTTCTTCTGTGTCTCTCTGTTTCATCTGTCTCTCTCTCTCTCTCTTTTATGTCTCTCTCTTTCGTCTGTCTCTCTCTTTCTTCTGTCTCTCTCTCTTACTTCTATGTCTCTCTTTCTTTTGTCTCTCTCTCTTTCTTGTCCTGTCCTCCCTCGTTTTCACACCTCTCCCCCCCTCCGTCTCTCCGTAGCTCTTGCAGTGTCAGAGGATGTGAAGGGGGAGGTGCTGTCTAACCTGAAGAAGCTGGTTCGTGACAGGAGACATGTCCCGGGCGTGTTGGCAGTGCCTCAGTTCAAACGGCTCCCTGACTTCTGGGGCTGGTACAAGTACTTCATGGACACTCACAACCAGGAGGGAGTGAGTCAGCTTATATTCAGCTTAAACTTTCATAAACTCATATCAAATGTGCTTTGAATAAGCTAATAGGGTGAGTTTTAAAGAGGGGTTATTATGCAATGTTATTTTTAGCTTTCTACCGAGTTATAACGTTTCCTTATCAAAATCATGCCTGAAGAGGTTTTAGATGTCATCCATGCATGCAGTAATTTAGCGATTTCTCCTGGGCCCTATTCAAACCCTCCTTACAGTTCACTGTAAGATTCTGTCCAATGCTCAGCCCACAAGTCTACGTCACCCATATCCCCACACAACAATTCTCCATAAATACACAAAAGTATAATTTGGATTGGGCAGTGTCCAAATTTTGATACTGTTAGACATTCTCAGAATTTTACCGTGGTATACGTTATTACCATATTACCAAAATGTTTTAGTACGACTTTGGTAAGCTACGAAGCTGCATCGCTATTCAGGTAAATTTAGGTAACAATAAATTCTAATAATATTAGGTCCTTATGTGCTGCACATTTTTTTAATGATGTAATGAAACTGATACCGTTGCTACTGTGTGATACTGCGGGATACCGTAACACCATAATACCATCCAGCCCTAAGCATGATACCAAAGTGTACACAACAACTTACAAACTTTATGTGCGGTAGTTTCATTAGCAGGATGCACGCTGATTGTGTTGTAATAGAGGTCTGAAGGGGGGGAGCGAAACTTATAAAACATGTCAAAATGTTGTTTTAGGCAAATGTAGCATTTTCAAAACCATAAAAAGTTATCTAAATAGTTAATGCCCCATAGAAATAAAATACCCCCTTCTTTAAGGCAAGGCAAGTTTATTTGTATAGCACAATTCACACACAAAGTTAGAAGCTTTGAAAAGCTTTACAAAATAAGAAATACATTAAAATTACAAGACAATCAAATAAAAATTAAAGAGTCACTATGTAACTTTAGTAGAGAATAGTCCACCACCTGCTTGTCTCCATGGAGATGTTATTGTTTTGCCTGGAATGTTCCACAGTATGGCATTAAACTTATCTAACTCCATGAAGACAAGCAAGTGATGGGGCGCCAAAAAGAGAAGTTACATGTCAGCTCTGAGGAGAGGTGAGTCTACTCTCAGTTAGAATATATGTTTTTCAAGGCATATTTGAGCAATAAAATGCCTGTAATTGAATAAAGGCTAGATAGATAAGCTGAAAGTCGGAGTACTTCCATCTCTCTTTATTCTTATTTAAAATGAGCAGCCTTGTGTCTCTGTGGTAAAGTTTTGTCTCCAGCTGATCTCTTTTCTTTGTGCCCCATTTCCATTGCATTCACCAAGCTTACTATTTTATTGCCTTAAAGATAAATACAAACAAAATAAGAAATTGAATGTAGTACTATACACAGAACAATTACTCAAGGCCTAAAGCAAGGTTTGTTATTTATTGTCTGCTGAAAGAAACTTCTTTTGGACATAAAGTTGATTCAGAGACTATAATGTCATTGTTAAATTTACATGAGAAAAACAAATCCTGGTTTGTTTTGTTTTCTTCCTTGAAAACTCTGCAAGGTCAAGGCTACTAATGGATTCCAGCCTTTTTAATTATGCATACGGCTTTAGAAGAATAGTCAAGTATTTAGAATAATGAGCTTTTTAACCCTATTTTCTTGCATTTGTTGAGAGCAGACATTGTAAAGTCTATTTATAAAGTCTAAGGCTGGAGGTTTTGCTTTCCTTGGAATGTTTCACAGTATGGCATTTAAATCTATCTTGCTTTTATTCAATACCAGGTATTTTTATGGCTAACAGTGAGCGATGTTGCCTCTTTTACAATTTATAACATGGCTTGGTGGAGTCACTTGCTTGTTTCCATGTAAACAGACGCTGGTAAAACAACTTTTTCATTCTAGACAAGCAGTCAGTACACCCTCCACAAAAAAGTTACACCACAAGGATTGGTGGTTTTAAGGAATGTTGTCAGGACACTACAATTTCAAACTAGATATTGATACTAAGGATTAAACTCAATGCACAATACAGATTCCGATACCACAATTCATAGTTCATGGTTCATAGTTACATACTTTACACTTTACATACTTTATTGTCAATTTCTTCACATATACTAGACCAGGGGTGGGCAAACTACAGCCCGGGGACTTATATTAATAATTTTCAGTGTTTTAAAAATTATTTCAATAAATAGTAAATACCATGAGAGTTTTGTTGTAATGGATTGTAATGATTTTCAATTATGGGATATTTCAATAACATGGGATATGTTTTCTACATATCCCATGTTATTGTTTTCTTTTATGAGGTGGATTACTCCATTCATCTGCTCCTGGTCTGGCCCTTCTGTCAAATTTTAGAATCCTTTGTGGCCCACAAGTCAAAAAGTTTGACCACCCTTGTACTAGACATACAAAGGAATTTAAATTACGTTTCTCTCTATCCCATGTGCATAGACACAACAAATAACATAATCTCCAACTACTACAGAAACTATAGATAAATAAATTAAGCTAAAAACACTAGTGTACAGTAGAATGCATTTAAAATCAGACCAAGTATTACAATGATAATTAAAAACACTCTTCTTCTTCTTCTTCCAGGTATGTTCCATAGTGATCCATGGGTGTATACTATTCTCTGTGGTCTTATACTGACACAGCTTGAGATCATACTAAAACTACTCAGGAAAGGTTCATTTCTGTCCTGTGAATGTGACTTTTTTAGGATGGATACCTGCTCAGATTAATATCTAGTTTCGTCACTAGTTTTCGTATTGATTAGCATCTGATTTTTGATACTTTAACAACCTTAGTTTTAATAATTATTTAAATATTGATTTAATTTCCCTCTGTATTTAGGTGGAAGACTTGGACCGCCTGTACTTGGCTTACCTGCAGAACAAGCACCGCTCCGAGGAGGGCCCCACCTTTAACCACTACCTGTCCCACCTGAGCGAGATCTACAAGAGCTGCGCCAACTCCGACGACCCAGAATGCATTGCAGAGTCCACCAGCAAACCCAAGGCTGCCGTCGTCATGCCTGCCCCGATCAAATCTGCTGCGGTCCGTCTCTGCAACCCGTACATCGACCCTTACTGCCTGTTCCCTCTCCTGCCCCACGCTGCAGCACCCGCCCCCGAACCCGAGCCTGAACCCGCCCCCGCACCCGTCAAAGCCCCCGTCCCCATCCTCACCCCCTTCCTCCCCAGGCCCCTCAAAGCCCCCACTGGCTACTACTACTACGCCCCCGTCCTGGAGCCATTTCTGAGTGCTGAGCAGAGGGCAGAACTTCTCAGAATTTGCAACCCCGAAGATGTTGAGTGCCTCCAGTATCACTTAAGAGCTGCTTATGGATACCGCCCCGCACCTGGTCCATTCCCATCCTACGCCTCTCTCAAATGTGACCCCAAGGACCCCTACTGCATGCCCCTCCTCGTCCAGAAAGCTCCTACTGGGTACTACCACCTCATGTACCCAGCATGCGACCCCAATGTTGACCCCCTCTGCGTGGTCAACGTCGCAGCTCCCCTCACATCCGGAGAAGCGCCTAAAGAGCAGCACTGCAATCCTCTTTTCGACGCCGGTTGCAATCCACTCACCGCCACCAAGCTCTCCGAACTGACCAAGCCCGTCCTGGAGTACCCCATGAAGGATGCCCCCGCTGATCCGGCCCCAGTCGCTGCTGCTGCTGCGTACAAAGGTGCCCCCCTGTCGTGTGACCCCCGCGTGGACCCCTACTGCCTCCTGACCGTGGCCGCCGCCCTCCGCAGACCACCTCCACAGATGCCCGAGCACCAGGTCTGAAACAGGCTTTTACTGGGGAATCTATGTGGTACACGCTTTGGGGTAAACCTGCTTTCTTCTTGTTCATGAACTGTGCTTTATTTTAGCTTGGTGATTACATTTTACAGTTTATATGATGTTGTTTTCTGATCTATTTTACAATGTTGTTTTCTCATCAAAAACATGCAGAGAGTTTCGTTTTGTTTCATTCACACGTTTGACACACAAATCCTGCATATTCAGAGTTCTTATCTCAAACTGAAAACACTCCACCTTCATGCTGTAATACACAAAGTGCTCCACTGTGTTTTTAAACTTCATACACTTTCACTAGAATCATTTGGATGGAACTGCCAATCTCTACTGATCTAAACTGAAGGTAAAACATAGCTGTTAACCTGAAAACTACCACTAGAACATTGTGAGTTTGGCTAATGTAGACAGACTAATAATAAAGGATTATTCAAACATTTGCAAAAATACAAACAAAACAAAACACAACTCTGGGTATTGTTTTTGTCCCAACATTATAACATGGCATAAAGCTCACAAGAATCCATTTTGTGTAATTCAGGACCTTTAAAGTGATATTGGCTTGGTCTTGTAGAATGTTTGTTGTTTTCAATAGTCAAACCAATCACCTGAAACAAATGGAGTTAATGCATGTCTTAGTAAATGACATTCACACACCATTATCAACCAGTGTTAAATATACCAATGAAGCTACGAGCTGTATTGAAATCTTAAACTTTGCTGGTAATAACAAGTATATGTTAGAAGTATAGTACCATAATGGGAAGAATACATATATCGAATAAAATATTATGTATGAAAAATCCCAGGTAGATCCATGGCAAAGGATAAATTCTATTTTGGACAAAGTTTATTTGGTGGAAGCTTGGATGAGCTGCGAAATATATATTATGTAGTCATATTCATAAAATAGAAGTACAACGGAAGTGCTGACCTTCGAACTCTTGCAATGGTAAGAAATAGTTTCACATGTAGTTTAGGAGTGAATGCCGTATAAATTAAAGTCCTTATATTTTTACAATTCCTGTTTCATGGCTGGATTAAGGAGGTAATTATTGTCTATTTTTATACGAAAAATTATGAAAGCAAACTATAGTCCGTTTTCCAACTGAAATGTTACTTGGTCTCTTTCTTCGATGTAGTAGAGTAGATTTTTTTTGTACAGGCTAAAAGAACAGAGCTGATGAAATAGTCAGCAAAGCCTGTTCCAAATACATGCACTCTTTAATTATGGGAACACATCTGAGCTACTTCCAGTTTCAATAAACAGTACATAAGCTTGCCTTTCCTCTGACTCTTGTCCATGTATCTGGGTGTTTGCAGAAGTAACTCCATTTCTTGTGGTGATTGGATTGACATACATTGATATACGTCTATTTGAACCCCACCACTCATCACCCACCATCAACCACCCACCCAGGTCCGCTACCGGCTGGGGGTCCCGGGCAAGACCAAGGAGGGCTACGACTGCTACGTCCACTACGACAAAGACTGCATCGCCCTGGACGCCGCAATGAAGAGCAACCTCCAGGCCCCTCCCAAACCTGCGTGCCACCCCTTCGACCCGAATTGTGGTAAGTTTGTAGTCCCACCTGGCACTGCATCGAAAACGATCAAAGATGGTATCATTTACCCCGATCCACACTGCGATCCCGAGTACGACTACAACTGCCGCCTGCGGAGAGTCGAGGCCGAACCTCAAGCCGATAGCCCAGCCCCCGAACCTGATAGTCCCGCCTCCGAAGCCATGGAAGCCGCCCCATTGGTTGAGGAGAAACAAGCAGATGAGGCCAGCCCGTCGTCATTTGATGATTTTCTGAAAAGTGTGATAAGCAAAAGTCAATAGAAAGTTTGGGATTTTCTTGGACATTTTTTTGGTGAATAGTTCTCACTTATTTTTTAAACCACAGTGATTAGAATATTGGGTTAATTTAACTTTTAGGTGGAGGGCAGGTTAGAATTGTACGCTGGAATTTGCCTTGTAACTCAAAATGCAGATTTGGTGTTTATGCCTAATGTCTCTTGGGTCGATCAACATGAAACCAAAACTGACTGAAAGTTTGATGTCTTCTGTAAGCACAAATTAACTACGGTTACATTTATTTTTTGCAGTTAAATCAAAAAGTTGTTACTATGTTAAAACACAAGCAAGATTATTATAAAACCATATAGAGTTATTTTGGCTCCTGCTCTCCATTTGAAATTAAGATAATGTGAACCCAACTTATTGTAACAGCACATTGGAGAATTGCAAGTCGGACAACCAGGGCAATAGAAGTGTATCAAATGATGTGAATGAAAATGCGTATGTAATTAAGTATGTAGAAGCTAGTCTGTATAGAGTCTTAATCATAGGTGTAGTTGTGGGAGTAGACTGTTGTACATTTGTAGTTTCCATTAGGGTTTTCTGTGCATTATTTGTCTATTTAATGTTTTTTCCACTGTTTTATGCCACGTTTAACCTCAGTGTCTTGTGTGTTTTCAAAAGTTTTAATTAATAATAAAACACTCTTTTATCTGAATTTGTAATGCTTATTTAATGGCTTGAGGGTGAATTAAACAGCAAAAATATATGGTAAAAATATCCAGATTGTTAAGAAGGAATTCAGTACTTAGTTTTTCATTTATTATTATTACAACTTTTCTGGTAGAGGGGTCCACTATACCTCCATGCTTACCTCCATGTAGATGCTGTTGTTCCACAGTATGGCATTAAACTATATTTTTTTTACTGCATTTATTCAAAGGATAGGGCTTTGTTGTGGAATTTCTGTGTACTAGCATAGGCAAAATAAACAAAGAATCACATTAAGTGTGACTATCTACTACAGACATGTCAAATTCAGGCCTGGGGGCCAAATTTGGCCCATGATATAATTATATTTGGCCCTTGAGATCAAATATGTATTAGAGCTTGCCCACCGGCTACAGATAGGCTATAGAGACATTATTTATTTTAAAATTGTGTTATTATTTTATATTATGCTTATCCTGGATTCAGTGTTTCAGCAAAACTATTATTAAACATTTATTTTAATAAGAAAAGATTTAACATTACATATCTTGAAAGAAAAAAAAACATGCAGATGTTGTTGACATTTTTCAATAAATATTTAATTTGGCCCACGTCTTAGTCCCAGTTTTTAATTTTGGCCCTCTGTGAATCTGAGTTTGACACCCCGGTCTACTATAAAATTCTGTATATTGTTTATAAGCCCAGTATGTGAAGAAACATGAACCATCAGGAGTTTCCACAGTATAGTATTAAACTAATCTGTCTTCACTGAAAAAAAAACAAAAAACAACAACAATATCTAGGTAAGTTAAAATGACTTAAATTAAGAACATTTTACTTTATTTGAGTAGATTTAACTTGACAAGTAAAATGATCTACTAATGGTATAAATGTGTTTTTCTTAATTCAAGCAACATTCAGTTTTGCTTCTTATTTTAAGTGCAAAAAGTTGTTCTTTTTCTTATTTTAAGTACAGCAAGAGGTATTTATATTTTGGGTACAAAAAGTCTTATTCCCCTGACAGATAATTTTACTTGTCAAGTGAAATTTACTCAAATTATGATAAAATTTTCTTCATTCAAGTCATCTTAACTTGAATAGGTTTAGTTTAGTTTGCAGTGTTTATTATAATTTATTCAACTACAGGTGTTAGTTAAAGCTCAAAAATATAAAAAAAATCCATTCTTACTGTGAGTGGGGTCGCTTCTCCACAAATCGAACCCTGGAAATGTGAGTCCGGGCACCAGCCAATCAGCAAAGAACCATATATTCTGTGTTGGCAACGATTCCTGAGATCAAGGATTTAAAGCCATAACAAAGAGAATGTTTGGTGAATTTAAGCAAGGGAAAAGACGTTATTGCCCTTCTTCCTACGGGATTTGGAAAATGCTTAATATAGCGGCGCATTACATAGATCACAACCAAATAGCAGCGATTGGTTATATAAAAAAGTACCTGCCTACCGTCGAGCGAACAAATCCTAATGCTGCGAGGTCAGACAGTTTCCACGAAGTGAAACCAGCTGATGAATCAGGCTAGATGACAGGCCCACCAGCAGACAAGTTACACAGTGCACCTTTAAGTTAATACACTTGTTGAAAGAGCACTAACTTTCTGTGTATATTTTTTGACTTTTAATATAGTTTTTCTTATTCATGTATTCCAGTCACTTTTTCCCAGTTTCATCTCCCTGACATTTTGAGGATTTTGCACCATTCAAAAAATACTTTTAGTTTCAAAATTGTTAATTGGTATGGCAACGGTTCTACTTATTCATTATTCTGAAACCCACACATTTTTGACCATATAAAAGATGTAATACTTCATTTTCAAATTGTTAATTACTATGGCAACAGTCCCAATTTTTCATGTTTCTCTCTGAAAACCATGGATAGTCCAGGATATATGAAAGAAAAGGAAACATTTTTCAAACTACCTTCCCGTCACCTTTAATATCTTACAGGGCAACATCATAAATCTGGTTTTGCTTTTCGCTTCCATCATCTAAAGGCTATTGATAAAAAGTTTGTTTCTCCATCTATTTGTCAGTGTTTGCAGTGTGTGGACCACTTTTGGACCGTGCATTTCCGCTCCCCTGTTTCTTAAAGGTTATGTTTGATAGATGTTTGTGGGCTACGCCAGCTGCACTGTGCTTTTCAATAAGAAGCAGTTTTTTTTTACTTCAACTCGGCATCCTCTAGTCTACTACTTCACTGACAGTTTTAAAGGTGCTGTAATAAGTAGCCACAAACATGAAATAGACTCAAAGTATGTCCATAATTGTAGTGGTCCAAAGATGCACTGATGGTGAGGCAGGTTTGGTCAGGTTTAGGCATTTGGTTTGAAGATGAATAGATATTTGGTGGACATACGGTATTAATCATAGCAAAAACAAAGTGACAAAGTGTTATTGTATCCACCAGGGGTTGCTACTTTGTCAAACTGCAAAGGAAAATGTTTGAATCTGTGTTTGGGATTGTATATGTTTAAAGCTTTGAAGGATCACTATCTAACATTTCTGACAAAGTGTCCACCATGTGCTTGTGAGAACCTTTGCCCATTAAGATATTATAATTGTATTATTATTATTAATTTATTTTATTTTTTGCTTAATTGCTATGGCGATAAAGAACCTTTGCTATAGCTTGAAACCCATGAATACATCTATGTCCACAGAGACAAAGTACACAGAGGTAGAATGCATGTTTTTTGTAGCAATAAAAACAATTAAATCGGGCATTGCGATAGTGTAAATCTTTGTAATAATTAGTTAGTCTTAAAGGTCCTACATCAAGCAAATTTGACTCTTGTGAGTTTTAAGGCATGCAATTGTGTTAGCTATTCAAAATCATACCTGGAGTTGTGTTTTGTTTAATTCATTCATATCAGTTATTATTAATCCGTCTACATTTCCCAAGCTCAAAATACTCGGTTCAACCTTCAATCAATAAATCAATCAAACCTTATTTATAAAGCACTTTTAATACAAAAATGCTTTACAGTGATTAAAAACAATCCCACATTTCCTTGAACCCATCCACCTACCCAACCCCCACAGTTGCCCAACCGCACACAACCAATCAACCCAGACACACGCACATGTGCACACACATGCACACGCACACAGACTTACACACATACTAACATACTAAAATACATAAAACCATGCATAGTAAAACGTGAACCAGTTGAGAAAGCACCATTAGAGGAGCGATCTAAACCAGGAGCAGTGAGCCGTCTGCCGCCAGCAGGAACTTCCACAAGGCCCAGGGGAGAGATGAGGCCCAAGTACCAACCCTCCACCAGGAGCCCAAGGGACAGACCCAGCAGCCGCAGCCGACCTCCGCTCCTGATGCAGAGGCTCCTACACCTTGTAATGTCATGTAGTAGTAGTTTTAACATAGATCAGGAAATAATAATTTATAATACAGGCCCTTTAATAAAGCATGAAGAAAGTTACTGCCTGGAATTAAGCAAAAGTACAGACACACAGGTAAAAAGTTACTCAAGTAAAAGTATCACATGAAAAAATCTATTTAAGTAAAAGTATTTAAGGGTAAGTAACTAAGTATTTCACATAGATTTTGATAGTTTTGTTAATTTGTTGAATTATTAAATGTAGTGATAAGAATTTAAAATTGATTCAGATTTTGGCCAGCAGTAACAATATGATTTCTTATTTTTTCTTAAGAATTTTTTCTGTATTTTGTTTGCTCAAAGCCGAAGTTTGAACTCAAAACCTTTAGTGAGAATGTTACCACAAACATGGTAAAAATAGCCCAGCACTTTTTTACTTTTCAGTCCAGTTGAAAAATGTAGTGAAGTAGAAAATACAGATATGCAAAATCAAATGTAGTGAAGTAAAAGTAAAAAGTATCCACTTTAAAATCTACTTATGTAATGTACAGATAGCTAATAATTCTACTTAAGTACAGCACTTTACTGATTGTACTATGTTACGTTCCACCACTGACATCTCTAAGCCACTTTTTATAATAAACACTCTATTTATAGCCTTAATAAAGCAATTACTTAATTAATATTCTAACCTTTAGTCCAGCCACTTAAGTTATGTAAATGGTTAATAAACCTGAGTCTTAATGAACTACTTGTTCATTATGAAATAAGTCTTAAGTAACAAAATTGAGTACTTCATCCACCATTGAAAGATGAGCATTTGAAACATTAATGTGTCTTTAAACCCCATCATCAATACAAGCGCTCAACACCTGTCTCAGAACAAAAAGACAATTGAAACAAACCAACACGTCATCTTTGATTCAGCCAAGGACTTTATCAACAGCACATCCCAGTGTCAGCTCCTGAGCTTT